GGGGATACGGTGTAGCCACCTGTATAGAACGACCACCTGTCTGTTCACAGCGTTCACAGCTTCCCGTGGATGGTGGAGATACGGTGTAACCACCTGTATAGAACGACCACCTGTCTGTTCACAGCGTTCACAGCTTTCCGTGGATGGTGGAGATACGGTGTAGCCACCTGTATAGAACGGCCACCTGTCTGTTCCCAGCGTTCACAGCTTCCCGTGGATGGTGGTGATACGGTGTAGCCACATGTATAGGACGACCACCTGTCTGTTCACAGCGTTCACAGCTTCCCGTGGATGGTGGGGATACGGTGTAGCCACCTGTATAGAACGGCCACCTGTCTGTTCACAGCGTTCACAGCTTTCCGTGGATGGTGGAGATACGGTGTAGCCACCTGTATAGAACGGCCACCTGTCTGTTCACAGCGTTAACAGCTGTCCCGTGGATGGTTGGGGGAGTACGTGGAGCCACCTGTATAGACACGGGGTCACCTGCTATAGGTACGACCCTGTTCTGTCACAGTGTGCACAGATTCGCCGGTGGATGCGTCGGGGTGCTGATACGGTGGTAGCCCACCAGTATAGAACGCCGGCCACCTGATACGTAGTAACGACGAACAACCTGTCTGTTGCACAAGCGTTCACGCTCCCCGTGGAGGCGGGTGGCGATTACGCGTGTAGCACCTGCCTATAAAACGCAGCCAACCTGTACTAAAGACGGCCACCTGTTCATGCTCTCGACAGCGGGTTCTACAGCTTCCCGATGAGACGATCGGTGGGATACGGTAGTGGCACCTGGCACTAGAACGGCCACCTGTCTGGTTTACAGCAGTTCACAGGGCTTCCCCGGTGGATGCGTGGGGGATACGCGCGGGCTGTAGGCCACCAGTATAGAACGGCCACCTGTATAGAACGACGACCGTCTGCTTCACAGCGCTTGTCGACAGCTCCCGTGGATGGTCGGGATACGGCTGTTAGCCACACTGTATATGAACGGCGCAACCCTGTCTCTTCACAGCATTTCAGCTTCCTGTGGTGATGCGGGATACGCGCTGATAGCACTGTAACGGCACCTGTCTGTCGACAGCGTCTCACAGCTTCCCCGGTGGATGTCGGTTGACTTACGGTGTATCCACCTCTATTAGGACGGCCGCACCTGGTATAGAACGGCCAACCTGTCTGTTCACAGCCCGTTCACATCCGTCCGTGGATTGTGGTTAACGGTGCGCGCTTTATGCCCAGTTGCCCCTACTCCCATTTCGCTTACCGGCGCGACCTTACCATTTCGTCGTATAGCCAAAAGAAGAGAATGCTTCTACACCCCACTTTCGATTACTGCCCAATTGCCTCACTAAAAATCCGACTGCCATTCCCATTTTGTTGCTACATCAGTTTTGCTCACTAAAATAATCATTTATAAAATGTAATATATCGGTCACAGCGCGATCCACCGGCCGAACTCGTTACGCTGTGAACAGACAGGTGCGCGTTCTATACAGGGTGGCCATACACCGTATCCCCACCATCTACGGGAAAGCTGTTAACGCACGTGAACAAACAGGTGGACGTTCTATACAGGTGTGCTACACCGTATCCCACCCATCCACGGGAAGCACTGATTACCCCCCCCCACCAGCTGAACAGACAGGTTGCGCGTTCTGATTACAGGTGGCTCACCGTATCACCACCAATCCACGGTAAGCTGGTAACGCTTCCGTGAACAGACAGGTAGTCGTCCTTATACAGGTGGCTACACCGTATCACCACCGATTCACGGGAAGCTGTTAAACGCGCTGTGAACAGACAGGTGGCCGTTCTATACACGGTGGCTAGCACCCGTATCACCACCAGTCCAGGCAGAAAGCTCGTTAACGCCTAGTGAACTAGACAGTGTGGTCCGCTTCATATATAGCGTGGTCGTTTTACTACAGGTCGGCTACACCGTATTCCCCACCTTCACGGGGAAGGCTGCGTGAACAGACAATTGGTCGTTCTATACAGGTGGGCTACACCGTATCACCACCATCCGGAAGCCGTGAACAGCCAGGCGGGTCGTTCTGTGCAGGTGGCTACACGGTAATCCCACCATCCACGACGGAAGCGTAAGCACAGGTGTTTCGTTCTATACAGGGTGGTCGTTTCTTTATACAGGTGGCTTGCACCGATCACCACCATCTACGTGTGAAGCCTGTGAACAGAAGGTGGGTCGCTTCTATAAGGTGGCTTACACCGTATCCCACCATCCACGGGAAGCTGTGAACGCTGGATGTAATAGACAGTGGCCGTTCTATACAGGTGGCGCCTACACCGTATGCATCCACCATCCACGGGAAGCTGTGACGCTGTGACAGACAGGTGGCCGTTCTATACAGGTGGCTACACGTATCACCACCATCCACGGAAAGCTGTAAACGCTGTGAACAAACAAGCATCTGTAGCGTCCGTCTCTTTTAGCCTGAACACGGC